AGGAGATGAGATGCCCAAAGATGTCCTTTTTGCAGACTTGGGTCTTATAAATAAGTATTTAAGACATTTAGAGTGAAATGATTTTTTTTAAAGCATAAGATTTATTTTAACAGCCATTTGAGAGTTGCTCTCTGTGTGCAAAACTTCCCTGAAAACAGTTTATCTGACACTCTGGATTTATCTTCTTGAGCAATTTCTTTTGGGTCTGGAAAGCCCAGATGTGATTTTGGAGAGGAAGCTGCTACTAGAGGGCTTGTTCATCAAGGTGTGGGATAAGTCATGTCAGGCAGGTTCTGGGAGTTGGGGCACACCTCCTATTTCTACCTGTGGAGAGGCAGGTTAATGTAAAGCAGGTGATACATTGGCCAGGTCTTTGAAATGTATGAACTACTTATTTCCAACTTAGGAAATAAGGTGTGTGTGTGTGTGTGTGTGTGTGTGTGTGTTATTGTGTAAAAACAGATGGAATACCAGCAGGGGCTTCAGAGAGAAGCTGAACAGATTCCTTGCTCCATCTGCTATGCTTAGCAATTGGCTTGTCCAAAGCCCAGTGAAGCAGTAGAAGTAAGTCAGTCCTCTCTGTTGCTGGCTGGCATTGCTGCCAAAAGTGAAGGAGCGTGGGATGGAGGTGGGAGTGATGACAGTAGTGAGAGAAAGCTCAAGAATTAAGGCAGGTCTGGGTTGGCTTCTCAGTACATCACTTATAAGCTACCTAAGGTGTGCAAGTGTAGTAACCCATACAATCACTTGGCCTTACCCGTACACTTGGATTAATTCTGATACTCACTTCTTTGGGCTGTTATGAAATGAAATGTAGGCAGAACAATTATCTCTTTGTTTATTCCAGAGCAAGAAATCCAAACTATGAGTATCCCTAGACAACTGCAGCAATGTTCACATTGATCTGTCTTTTGTTCTTGTTCTCTTAAGATCCTTTGCCACAAAACCAGCAGAAGGACCGTTTTAAAATGGGAAATGTATCATGTCCTTTTCCAAAGGCTTGCCACTGACCTCCCTCCTCCTCTCCTGCACCTGGGCTTTGCCCCCTGGAAGGATTTGTTTTTCAGACAAGCTAAGCACAGTTCAGTCCCCAGACTCCTGTGCTTGCCCCTCTCTCTGCCTGGAGTGCTGTGCTCTTGATGTTTGCTTAGCTGGAGAGGCTTGTGAATGGAAAGGCCTCCTCTGTCATACCACTCTTATTTTCATTGTTGTCTTGAATGTCTTGGTTGTTTCTCATATGTCATGGATATCTAACCTGGTTCCAGTGTGAGTCCTGTAGAAGGTTCTTGCTTTTTATTTTATTTATTTATTTTTGTTGGTTGTGTGAACTTTGGACTTGGATGCTGTCCCTGAACTCTTCAACTCAAGGCTAGTACTCCACCACTTGAGCTACAGTGCCACTTCTGGCTTTTTCTGTTTATGTGGTACTGAGGAATTGAACCCAGGGGCTCATGTATGCACAAGGCAAGCACTCTACCACTGAGCCACCTTCCCAGCCCTTAATAATTTTTTCACTGCTAAGTACTCAGAAACTTGCATAGCACCTAGCGCCTGGCAGTTGCTTAGTTAATATTAGTTGAATTGATGAAAGAATAATGTGTCTTTCTTGCCATTTGCAACCTATCCTTTCTTCAAAGGCTAGCTCAAGACTAAACTCTCCCATGAGACCATTTCTGACAGTTTTAAACAATTTTACGAATCTGGAGGAAACCTGGGCTATATTCCACCCATTTCCCTCTTAGCAAATGTCCCTGAATAGAGTTGGTGATGGCCTCTTCTCTACTATGTCCACAATTTTAGAACACAGAGAAAGAAGGGTGTGTCCGGATTTTTTTCAGAAGGCAACAAAGAACATGACAGATATGGGTATAAGGGCTAGGGAATTGAAGTACTGAATATTTAATCATACCTGGAAAACAAACCCATATTGTCTTTATTAAATCGATTTGTTTCCTATTATTATTTTTTTTACTATCTTTAAATAATTGTACAATGGGGTTTTGTGTCGCTTTATATGTACAATATGTACAATGTCTATCATCTATTTTAGATTTTAATAAGATGGAAGAAAAACCTCTTTGCTTCCCACTGTTAGGAAAAGCCAAAAGAATAACAGTTGTTTCAGATTTTTATAGGTGTGAATACTTTAATTCTCCAGGAAAAGAAATATTTTAGACAACAAAGAATGGAGATTGAAAGTGGGAAAAGATAATGTTCCCACCTTTCAGTGTCCTTCACGACCTTGGAAATACTGGGTTTGAAGGCTTTTGTTTATTTCTGGCCACCTAGAAAGCAGCTGATTGCAGCAAAACTGGCTTCCTCTGCATTTAGCACCAGTAAACTGCTGCCTTTAGCTTTACCTTTGGATGCAGCTTCAAACTGACTTGTGGAAGGGGCAGCACAGTGAACTGAGAAACCCATCCAATTACTTGGAATTGTAGGGCTGAACCAGAGGTCCTCCTGGCACTCAAACTTAGTCTCAGGGCTCTGAAGGAAACTCAGATTTCAAGTTCCTGTGTTGTTGGAATGCAAATGTGTTTTCCCATCTATGAATGGCAGAGAATGGGGCAGAGGAGGGCATCAAGAATAGAGAGCCTAGCCTCTATTTGTGTCACCTTTTTACTTGATTATGGGCCTAGGCCTTTCAAGTGAAGACATTTACTCATTCAACTGAAAGCCAGGGAAAAGGGCCAGGTGATAAGGTTATAGTGATGAATAAAGACAGCTATAATTTCTACAGATACCAGCCGTTTCTATTGAGCACCATATAAACAAACATTAGAGGTGTTGACTTGGCACTTTTTTTTCTAGTTGTTTTTTCCTTTGTTCTTGTTAGGCAAGCACTCTACAACTCCAATCCTGTCTGCAGCTCAACATTAGAATCAATAATATTGAAGCATTATGATTCTTACAGTGTAAGGCACTCAAAAAACACATTATCTCTCATGTGATAATCTTGCAATTTAACCTTGAGAAAAATATGAAAATAAAAACTGAGGGACATTTCGTATATGTATATAAACAGACTCTTTTGTATGCTTTAAAAAAAGCCTAAAAAGTCATTAGAATTAAATATATTAGATTATTCTGAATTAGATTCTGGACCAGAAAAATTTTTTTCTAGGTAACATTATTGGGACAACAGGCAGACTCTGAATATGGAATATAAGTTACGTAACACAACTATATCAATAGTAAGTTTTCTGATTATTATAATAGAAGGGTTGTTATGGAAGTTGTCTTTTTATACCTGTTTATTCCATTGAAACATTCAAAGATAAAGGCAACATATTCTCAAGTGTTTGAGGTATGAAAGAAGGTGTGTGTATGTGTGTATGTGTGAGTGTATGTATAGTATATATGTATAGGTTCATGTGTATGTGCGGATATGTATGTATAGGTTTGAAAGAGAGAATAAGGGAAATACAATTTTTTTTTTGGGTCCGGTCGTGGGGCCTGAACTCTGGGCCTGGGTGCTGTCCCTCAGCTCTTCAGCTCAAGGCTAGTGCTCTACCACTTGAGCCACAGCGTCACTTCCGGCTTTTTTCTTTTTGCTTATGTGGTGCTGAGGAATCGAACCCAGGGCTTCATGCATGCAAGGCAAGTGCTCTACCACTGAGCCACCTTCCCAGCCCGAAATACCATGTTAATATTGGGGAATCTGGCACATGAACATAGGCAAGTTCCTTTGCTTTCTTATAGCTCTTCATATATATGAAATAATGTTTCAGATTTTTATCCTCCTCCAAAAATATATAAGGTGAAATTCAACAATCTTCTTCATTATTTTTTTTCATTTTCACGCATGATTAGAAAAACATGTTTATCTCAGTTTCATAAAAATATTCATTCATGTTTTGTTTTTGTTTTTTAGTTTGTTGGTCATGGATCTTAAACTCATGGCCTGGGCACTGTCCCTCAGCTCTTTTATTTAAGACTATTACTCTACCACTTTGAGCCACAGCACCATTTCCAGTTTTCTGGTTTTAGAGATAAGAGTCTCACAGATTTTTCTGCCCAGGCTGGCTCAGATCCTCAGATCTGCCATCCTCAGATCTCAGCCTTCTGAGTAGCTAGGATTACATGCGTAAGTCACTGGCTTCTGGCTCATGTTTTCATTCTGTATTGAAATCTATCTAGAATTTGATCTACTGAGAAATGTTCTATGAATTCTCTCAGGCATTTAGCCACTTTCTCCCATGTTTATAGAATAATCAGTAATTTCCTTACCAGTGTCAAAGCATATTTATTGTGTAGTAAAATTCTGCTTATTATACATGAATATAACCTTGTTTTAAAGATTCTGGTCTTGTTTATATAATTTTGATGTGTTTATTTGTTTTCCATGCTATACATTTATTCTCTCTTTTGTCACTTTTCTGCTTATTCCCTTTTTCCTCCATTCTTCCAGAGAATAAATTATCTCAAAGAATTATTTCAAGCTTTATGTTTTTGACCCTAGGGATTGAACTTATAGCCTCACATTTGCTAGGGCAGCATGTTCTGATACTTGAGCTACACCTCCAGCTTGTTGGTTATTTTGAAGCTGGAGTCTTGTGGGCTTTTTAACCTGGGCAGGCTTCAAAGCACAATCCTCCACATCTCAACCTCTTCTGTTAACTAGGATTAAAGCCAACAATGCCCAGTGTGCCTTGGTTACTTTTGAAGTAAGGTCTCACTTTATGCCCAGTCCAGCCTGAGCTTCATTTTATCTTATTTGTGATTGTGGTACTGGGAAAGAGGAATTCACCAATTAGTCTCCTATAGGATAACAGGCACATGCCATTACATCTAGTCATTTGTTGAGAATTAGTCTCATTAACTTTCAGGCCCAGGCTGGCTTAGAACCATGAATTTTTATCTCTTCCTTTCAAGTAGCTAGGATTATAGGGATGAGCCATCTTACTCAAAACATTGTAATGGGATTATTTGATTTAGGTGGCACTCTAACAAAGGGTTTATTGGGTACAGAAACAGTTTAACATATAATTGGAATAAAAATGAAGCAACCAGGATTTAGCAAGTGTAAAAAGTATGTAGAAGTTAGGTAAATATGGTAGAAATATTAGATCATTATCCCAGTCTTCTGCCTTGGCTATTGGATGAATTAACCTTCAATACTAAATTTTAAACTTTGGAGAAATAATTGGTCACATTTTCACAGCTGATTTTAACTAATTAACCAATGGATTGGATCACCTGATTCAAAGTTTCTGTAGATATTATGTGTTACAAATACAGCCACTGGTAATCATCTGTATAAGGGCCAGTCCTCAAGAGATGACAAGGTGAGTCTGTCAATATTTAATAATATCTGGTTTTTGCAATAGTGAGATTGTTTTAATCCAAAGACGAATGTCTCTTCGTTTATTTAAATTTATTAAGGCTTTCTGTGAAGTTTTTAGTTAAAAGTTTTGACTCTATATAGTTAAATACTTTATTCTTTTATTATTTTAAATGGAATTTCCCCCATTTTATTTATCTGAATGGTTCATTGGTTATATGTAACAATTTGTTTTCACAGTTGATTTTAACTAACCAACATATTTAGTTTCCTGATTTTTATCTTTTTGTGATGGCATTGGAGTTTGTTTGTTTGTTTGTTTGTTTGTTGGGGGTGGGGTCTGTTGTGGGGCCTGAACTCTGGGCCTAGGCGCTGCCCCTCAGCTCTTCAGCTCAAGGCTAGAGCTTTACCACTTGAGCCACAGCGCCACTTCCATCTTTTTCTGCTTATGTGGTGCTGAGGAATTGAACCTAGGGCCTCATGCATGCAAAACAAACACTCAACCACTGATCTACCTTCCCAAGCCTGGCATTGGAATTTGAACTCAGAGCCTCATACTTGCAAGGCAGTTGCTCTTACTGCTAAGGCACACCTCCATCCTTTTATGGGCTGGTTAATTTTGAAATAAGGTATTTCATCCTGCCCAATGTGTGCCTAAATCTTGATCTTCCTATTTTAGATTTCTTATTGTAGCTGGTATGATAGGTGTAAGCTATTGTAACCAGCTTTCAGTCCTATCTGTCCTCAAGCTATGATCCTCCCAATTTTAGCCTTTGAAGTAGCTAGTTTATAGATATGAATCACTGGCTAATTTTCTGATCACATCTAGTTATCAGTAGTATCATTTGTTTCTCTTGTGTTTGCCAGGTATAGTCTTTTTTTTTTTTTTTT